CAGCATACATCGTCGTCGTGGCGCTATTCGAAAGAGGCACATCGAGGTTCCTCAGCCTGGACCGCGGCATTGTAGCGTACGGGTGTCCCGCCTGCGCATACGGGCGCACCAGGACGGGCTGCCGATGCCGATTCACCCACTGCTGCTGCTGCCGCTGCTGCTGCCCGTCCCACTCCTCCTCGGCCGCGCCACCAGTGCGCGCAGAAGACGACGGGCCCTGTGCGTACGGGTGCGCGGGTATGCGGATCGGCTCACGGTACTGCCGCAGGTGGTGCTGGTGCTGGTCGTCCGAGGAGGGGGAGATCGCGATGCCGACCTCGCCTGAGCCCGACATGCCCGACGGCGTCGGCGAGCTGTCGTCCGTGATCATGGCGGCCGCAGCGGCGGGCGCCCCCCCGAAGTGTTGTGACTGCTGGTACTGGTACTGCTGGTGTTGCTGCTGATGCTGATGCTGGTGTTGCTGCTGGTGCTGTTGTTGTTGCTGATGCTGGTGCTGGTGCTGCAACGCGCTCTCCATCACGCCCGCGCGCTCGTCCGGCGGCGTCAACACGCCCTTCTCGCCCGTCGGGCTCGCGAGCCCGCAGAACGCAGCCGCAGTGTTCGCAGTCGAGACGACGATCTTGAACGCAGACTTGCCGAACGACGCCGTGCGCGCGTGGCCGCCGCCGTGCGCTGCGCCATGAGAGTCAGACGACTGCGGCGGCGGTCCCTCGTCCGAGCGCGCCGTCGACACCGTGTTGTGCCCCGCCGAGTTCGAGTGCGCGTGCTGCGAGCGCGTCGCGCGCGAGCCCGTGCCCGGCCGCGAGAAGGACCGCGACGCGAGGGACTGGAACGTCCCGTGCTGCGCCGTGCCGGACTGCGTCTGCGAGTGCGTGTGCGTGTGCGTGCTGTGACCCGTCTTCGACCCCGCTGATGCGCCGCGCACGTAGATCGTCGGCGCGCGCGTCTGGTTGCCGAGCAGCGTCCGCTCGGCGAGCGCCTCGAACGCCGCCGCCGCCGTGCGGCGCTCGCCCGACCGGCTGCGCGGGCGCGGCGCGCCTGCTGCTCCGGCGCCGATGGACCGCGAGCGCGCGCGCGACACGGTGTGGGCGCGCCGGTCGAGGAAGGAGCGGTCCGCCTGCGCCTGCCACGCGCGCCGGTCCTCCTCGAGCTGCCGACCGTCTTCCAGCACCCTGCAAAAAAAAAAACGCGTCTCATTAGCCACTCTTCTTTTGTAAACAAGGATAAAGATAGTATAAACCGCCACAGACTCACTTTGCCAAAGACGGCACGGGGACTCGGGAGCGCGAGGTCGTCCCACGCCCAGCTCTTCGGCCGCGGCGGCCGCAGGGGGGCTCCGGCGGGGCCTCTGCTCGGGCCTGCCTGCTGCTCTAGCGGGTCTCTCGGAGGCGAAGGCGCGGCGCCGCGGCTCGTGGACCGTGCGCGCGCCATGGCAGCGTGCTGCTCGGCGGGGCCAGGCCGTGCTTGTATGCGCTCGTCCGTGTTGCCGGGGAGAACGGGACTCGGGGGCGGGCTGACGATGCGTCCACTGCCGATGCTGCCTCCTGCTCCTGCTCCTACTGCTCCTGCTGCTCCTCCACCTCCTCCACCTCCTCCTCCTCCACCAACACCACTCCCGCCACCAGCACTCCCGCCACCAGCACTCCCGCTTCCACCGCCACCGTCCCCACCACCCCCAGGCTCGCCGAGCCGCAGCGCAAAACGCGGGCGCGGAAGGAGGATGGCGTCGCACCAGGTCTCGGCGGCGAGCCAGCGCTGGCGGCCCTTGAGGTTCGGCGTCGAGATGCTCGCCTTGAGGAGCGAGTTGCGCGGCGAGGGCTTGAGGTAGTCTGGCACACGCGCACCTGCTGCTGCTGCTGCCTCTGCACCCGCACCCGCACCCGCCGTGCCCGCCGTGCCCGCCGCACCCCTCGGACCGGCGCGCGGGTCGAGAAAGTTGATGCGCGGCACGACGAGGCGGGCTTTGCCCTTGTTCGCTGTTGTCGCGGGTGCACCTTGCGGCTCGGATGCGGGTGCGGAGGGGTCGGGGTGGGCGAACGGGTATGCGTACGGGTGGTGCGAGCGCAGGGAGGTGTCTTCCGAGGCAGGTCCGCCGCCGGCGCCGGGCGTCGCGAGCAGGGTCGAGTAGTACGAGTCGTAGTACTCGTCTTCGTGCACGATGCGCGACGTTGTCGCGCCGCGTGTGGCGTCCAGGAGGGCCGCGGTGTTGGTG